ACATACATACCCTGCGGCAGATTGTACAGAAGAACAAAGAGTACAATCTGCCACTTTTTCTGATGTATGTGGACTATGAGAAAGTCTTTGATGCCGTCGTAATTTATATCCCCGAAAATATTCACCGATGCATTGGAAGACGTTTTCAACCTACTGTACTAGAAAGTATACGGTATTAACATCAACGGCAAGTAAATCACTTACCTTCGATTTGCCGACGATATAGACCTTATGGCAGAATATCTGGAGGACCTAAGCACTATGCTCAATGACCTCAATGGTGTCTCACAACGGATAGGTCTTAAGATGAACATGGACAAAACAAAGATCATGTTTAATGTCCAAGTCACACCTATGGCGGTAGTTGCTGGGAGCACTATGCTCGAAGTTGTTGACGAATACGTTACCTTACCTGGGACAAATAGTCTGACTAGGTAAGTCCAACTTCGACCGAGAGGTCAATTGACGGATTCAACTCGGCTGGGTAACGTTTGAGAAATTACGACACATCTTCTCGTCAGGTATATATATCTCGTCAGGCCATCGGCTCAGGACAGGTTCATAGTGCCCAAGTGCATGCGCAAGCACAGGTGCACTCTCTATTCCCTCACTCTCATAATCCGATGGGACGGTAAACCAACACGACCGGAGAGAGATCAGACGCAGGACCAACGGCTTAACGTGCTTTCCGAGGCACGGAGGTGAGACACCGCCAACTTCCTGATTTCAGGCAGCTATTGAGAATTTCTGGACAGAAAAACTCAAAATTTTTTGGCAGTACCCGGGATTCGAACCCAGGACCTCGTGATCAGCAGTCGCACTACTACAACCACTGGACCAACGAGGCAGTAAGGTTAAAATTAAGTTGCAGCTGTATCTATGTGTTAAAGCTTTCTTATGACTTCAGCACAAATGGGTCGACTCGACCGCGTAAGGATCACGCTATTACAAAATACCAACATGAAATAAACGCTTAATGTGTTTCGTATGGTGAGTGTAGAGAACCAGAGGCCCTTTTACTGAATAAAAGTCATTCCATCTCAGTCCTCAGGGGCAAAAATGTGTCTGCATTTTGATTATCAATCATTTTATAATACAAAATATGTTTAAGGTGACAAACGAGAGCATAGTCTACCTGATATTAAATGGATACCTTGATCTAAGGAGACCTACATCTGTCCTCTATTACGAATCTATATAAACCAGTTTTTCTTTCTTTATTACCTACAATTTCTATACGAAACGCAACAGGAATATTCTATTGTTTTACGGTAATATTCTGTAAAAGCGTGGTTTTAATCCGGTTGAGCCATTCGTGCTGCAGCCGTTACATGTATAAAGCACGGCTCTGCTTAAAAATGCCTGCTAAATGTCAAGGCCTGGCACTTGAACTAAATTGCCTCCAGCCCTAAAGTGAATTCTTTATTAAGTAGTGTTTATTTATTAAAATAGTTAAGAGTATTATGTAACACATATTATAAAGTCTTATTATGCAAGGTCAGCTGGATAACGACACAATGTATGTACCTAATACTCTTTGCTGGCAACAACCCAACCAGCGACGTTTTATCACGGCAAGTAAGTTTTATCGGCATCTTAACCTAATTCCGTTTTAACAATTCCTTTTATAAAATGCAGTTCAAAGTTTTACGCTTGAGTGATTCTTTGCCGCATTAAGAATAACGGCCAATTTTTTAAAAATAAAAGTAGGTTTCCATTTAAGCTTAATGTGAAAGTGTAGTTGTAAAATATCTTCAAAATATTTTATACCTTAGACATGTAAGTTTACGATATTATTCCTTTCCCGTCGAGCACGTGGTAAATTACCATTACCATAGCAGCCTATCAAAAGTATATTTCATAGATTGCCCCACAATATTTGCCGAATTTAACGCGCCTATTGGCGTTGACCGTTATTAAGAAGATACTGCTGCCTGCTGTTTTCCTCTGTCGCTTCTAATGCCACCCACGGGACGATATGGGGTTGTTGATATTCTTACACTGCTAAAAATTGTTAACACTGACTGCCTCGTTGGTCTAGTGTTTGTAGTAGTGTGACTGCAGATCATGAGGTCGTGGGTTCGAATCTCGGGTCAGGCCAAAAATACTAGCTACTCGGAGTCAGGAAGTTGGCATTATCTCACCCCCGTGCCTCGGAAAGTACGTAAAGCCGTTGGTCCTGCACCTGATCTCTTACCGATTGGAACGGTTTACTGTCCCGTCGGACCATGAGTGTAAGGCAATAAAGAGTGCACCTGTGCTTATGCATACACTTGGGCACTATAATCCTGTACTGCACCGATGGCTAGTCTCCGTTATGGCAGATCGTCGTGACCGAAATTCGGTCTGGAGGATAATATTATTGTTATTGTGGGGTATAATATAATATAATAATATTATTGTTATTGTGGGGGGTATCAATATAATTTTCTCATCTGGTTGGGTTCTATAAATATATAATTATAAATGGAAATGAAAAGATAAATATACATAAATATCAATAATATAAAATAAATATAAAAATACATATATAAATAAAAGCCCAACCAGATGGAGGCCCTCGGTAGGGGAGACCAAACGGCCGAGGGTTAGGGGGAAAGGGAAAGAAACCGGCGGACGATGCGGGCGGTATTGAGGAGCACCGCCTTCTGCATTTGAGCCTGGAGCGGTCCGCCACGTAGTCCCAGCCGCCTCAGATGACCCGAGAGGCTGACTGGGATTAGCCCGTTTACAGAGACGACTACAGGAATAATTTCGGTCGGCAGACCACCCCACATGTCGGTCACCTCGTGAGCCAGGTCCAGATATTTTGTTTGCTTATCTGTTTCGGCTTTCACGAGGTTCTCGTCACACGGAATGGTAATGTCGACCAAAAATATCCTAGACTGTGCCCGGTCCATCAGCACAATATCAGGCTTATTCGCAAGAATAGTCCTCTCTGTGATGATGGCCCGGTCCCAATAGAGCCTGGCGCGATCATTTTCGAGCACGTCTTCCGGCAAGTACTTGTAATACGGCAATTTCCGATCCACGAAACCGTATTTCAGAGCGAGCTCCTGGTGTAGAATTCTGGCTACTAGGTTGTGCCTGTGCAAGTACTCAGAGTTATAAAGCGCCGAACAACCGGAGATGACATGCCTAAGTGACTCACCGGGATGGCGACAAGCTCGACAGATGTCGATGGTGCCATTCCTTTAGGATGTATCTCCGATAGTTGTTGGTCTTAATAACATGATCCTGTATTGCACAGACAAAACCCTCGGTTTCCCCGAAGAGGTCACCAAAGCGTAGCCAGTGGAGGGAGGTTACTGTGTCTACGAAAGGCCCATGTAGAGACTTGTAGAACCTCTCGTGGAGCTCCTTCTAATTCCATACGGTCTCCCGATCGGAAATTGTCTGCACTGCCGGGTCTTGCCATTGCTCGTTGGCTAAGGATAGAGGGGTGAGTCCTTTATCACAAGAAACGACGTCCTTATAGAATGGATCTTCCGATCTCGCCAGGAAGTAATTACGGAGGCTGCACACTTCGCGATTATGCATGGTGAGCGCGCTCAAGAAGCCACGCCCACCATGCTTTCGCGGCAAGTACAGCCTCATTACCGACGATCTCGGATGATGCATCCTGTGGGACGTCATGGTAGTGCGGACTTTTCTATCCAGGGCGTTAAGTTCAGTCTGAGTCCACCTGAGTATGCCAAAGGTGTACATGAGGACAGGCATGACCCAGCCGTTATATGCGTGTGTCTTATTCACACCGGAACAAAAGGCTGTTAAGCACTTTGGTCAAGCGTGCATAAAACACGTCGCAAACTGACTATTTCATACCAGCCTCATCGATACCGATGTTCTGTGACATACCCAGGTATCGGTATGTTTCAGCCTCGGAAAGGGTCCTTAAGTTGACGGGCATAGATAAGTCTATGCCCTCAGAGTTAGCAACCCTACCCCCTCTCAACAAGGAGGACCGCACACTTATCCGTCCCCAGCTCCATTCCAATAGAATTGCTAAATTCACAAGTGATGTTTAGCAATTACATAAGATGGGAGCGACTGGAGGCGAATAACTTTGAGGTCATCCATATAGAAAAGGTGGGTCACTTTTGCCCCTCCTTTCCGTAGCTGAAATCCCCTCCCGGAGCCCTCCAGTAAGTACTGAGAGGGTTCAGAGAGAGGCAGAACCATATTGGACTCAGACAATCGCCCTGGAAGATACCCCTTCCTATCCTTATGCGGTTCTCCGCAGCCGTCATCCGCTCGCCCAGATGACAAAGGATCGTACTCCACTGCCCCATACACTGCTCGAGGAAGTCTCGAACTGTACAGTCAATCTTGTACAGCTCGAGGACTCTCTTTAGCCATGTATGGGGCACCGAGTCGAATGCCTTTCTGTAGTCTATCCAGGCGGCGGAGAAGTTCCGACGGTTGCGTTTCACCACTTTGCCAATGACCGCGTCAATTAGGAGTGGTTCCTTGGTTCCACGACCACCGCCCCGACATCCATTTTGAGCGCGCGCCATCACCTGATTTAAGTCCAGGTGACGAGCGATTCTTGCGCTCAAAATGGATGTTAGTGTCTTGTATATGGTCGGTAGACACGTGATGGGGCGGTATTTGCTCGGGTCTGTGGTACCCTGGCCTTTAGGAACCAAATGGGTGATCCCAGTAGTGAAGAGGCTCGGGAGCGACTTCTGGTTGAGAGCCTCTTGAAACTGTCGGGCGAGCACAATGTGACACACCACGAACCCCTTCAGCCAGTAGTGATGGAGCCCGTCAAGTCCCGGACTTTTCCAGTTCGTGGCCCTACGGACCGCCTCAGCTACGTCATCCGGCGTTATGGTGACGGGATCCATGGGCGTAATACCCGCACACTGACTCGCCACAACTTCCGTCCAAGGGCCCTCATTGTGGTTTACGGGCTCTGACCACAGGCTGCGCCAGAATGCCACCGTGTCGGCCTGATTCGGTACTGGGCCCGTTCCACTTACCATTGGTCGCTCCAATCATTTATAGAGCCTCTTCTGATCACTCTGCAAGAGACGATTCTGGTTGAACCGTGTCGACCTCTCGGTATATCGCCGAATTCGCTTTCCCCAAGCAGCGATTCTCTGCTTCAGGTCATCTATGCGCTCCGTCAGTTTTTGCATTATATCCGGCTGGGACAAACTAACATTTGTCCCAGCAAACGCCATCCTGACGGTGCGCACAATCCTTGGCCTGGTATTGCCTGACCTGAAGCATATCAGTCTGCCGATGAGGGCCCTAGCCTTTGCGATACGTTCTTCAATTCTTGTTCTCCAGGCTGGGAAAGCACTACTTTGTCCAGTAATGTGTCCAGCCGTGGAAAGTTTGGCGCCTATAATACGGCAGACTGCCAGTGCGGCGCCAAAGAGAATTGAGTCCGTCTCGCAAAGGTCCCGGCTGGCTTCCAAATAGGTCACCAGCATTGGGTTCAGAGCCCTCACGACAGCCCGATTTCGCTTGCTTAGGGCTATGCGGGGAAGTCGTGGTCGGTTTTCGGGAGGTGTACTGCGCGTTTCCGTAATCGCCTCTTCCAATGTACTCATCATTTGCTCTATTTCTAGTTCCTGGGTGAATGTTCCATCATCATTTGAATCAGCAACCACTGGGGTATTCACGGCGGCATCCATATATGCGGGTTGTTCTGCAACTTGTGGCACCGCACCCTCAGTCGTAGAGTTTTCATTTGATGAGGGAACAGCCTCACGTCGTAGCCGTTCGAGTTCGGCGCCATCAAATATATTTGAGCGTAAGATATACCGAACTCGGTCTGCCAGGTTTTGCTCGGTGACAGTAATAGATGGCTCCAGCTCAGTAAAAAGACGATGCATCCTAGCCCGATACGCGAAACCTCCAATTTCTCCCCCTTTCGCCCTAAAATACGCCCGCAATGCGTTTGTATTCATATTGATGGTCCATCGCATGCGGCGTACTCCACCAGTGGCGGGTGCCGATTGCTGGGCCTGCGAAGACCCTGCCGACACCAAGCAAGCTGGTGGGGATGATGGATGCGAGGGGCTGCTGGGTGGTCGTGCAGCACCTCGCGCTTTTCTGGCGGTTCGCATGCTATCGCGTCCAGCGCCAGCTCCAGACGCGCCCTGGCGACCTCCAGGCAGCGGCCCTTTGCGCAATCTTCTTTGTTCCATCATCCATACGGGGCGTCATTTAACGGGAGACACCCAGACCCGGCGCCGTTTCATGGTGAGGCCATATGCACAAGCGGGCACTTGCACCATCAATTTTTGCCGAGGCACGGCACTCACACCTCTTGGCAAGGTGCTGACTGACAGCGCGGACGTAGCGGTTTTGTCATATAACCGTCACGTCAGCGGGCGATGGGATCGTCACTTCCCTACGCCTTTTTATTGTTATTATTGAGGTATCTATATAGTTTTCTCATCTGGTTGGGATGCATAAATATATAATTATAAATGAAAATGAAAGGATAAATATACATAAATATCAATAAAATAAAATAAATACAAAAATACATAAATAAATATAAGCCCAACCAGATGGAAGCCCTCGGCAGGGGAGACCAAACGGCCAAGGGTTAGGGAGAAAGGGAAAGAAACCGGCGGACGATGCGGGCAGTATCAAGGAGCACCGCCTTCTGCATTTGAGCCCGGAGCGGTCCATCACGGAGTCCTAGTCGCCTCAGATGATCAGAGAGGCTAACTGGGATTAGCCCATTCGCAGAGACGACTACATTTATTGTTATTATTATTGTAATTATTATTATCAACACTGCCACTATACGATCAGTCACGCTGCGTGGTAAAAATTTGAAATAAACAACTTCATTGGTGCTGGCGGGGATCGAACCCGAGTTGCTCGCATACTATGAAATATGCGGCGAGTTCTCAGACCTTGTGCAACGACTGGGACGTAATTCCTTATCATCATCATCATCATTACAGCCTGTCAAAATCCATTACAAAACATTGGCCTCCGTTATAGTTTGACTCATATATTGTGAGTTGTTATTAGTAAGGTGTTTTTACCTCTCTACCGTTTTTCTGTCGCCTTTTAGGATATTTATGGATTGATACTGGGTGGTGTATACGCTAACACCACCTCTATATGGTGATATCTACGAAGTGCCTCGTTTAACATATTTCTCACTTGTCACCCACAATAGGAAACATATTTCTATTGGTTGCTACTTTACACACTGGTAGTAGTCTGTGCGAGGTCTATCCTGAGTCTAACCTACATAATCCTAATGCAATCGTAATCACATACAGTCATAGCACAGTTGTCGATTACTTTGTTTGTGATAGATTAGTCTAAGTTATAGAAATATGTTTGCATGAAATAAGGTTTTGACTGATTTTGCAAAAGGAGGTGGATCAAAATTCGACTGTTTTTTTTTATGTATGTAAGTGTGTTACGGGCCAATATGTTTGCCAGTTTGTGAAAATAATTTATTGATTCTTTTTTTAATTTTACAGGACATACCGCAAGAGGGGTCTGTGGCGGTGGAAGGAAAATGGGAGCGGCCAACGTTCCGTGTGATAGTTCGGAGCTGTTCTATATATATATAATATATATATATATATATATATATATATATATATATATATATATATATATATATATATATATATATATATTGTTTATGATTCGGAACTTTGATAGCGCGGTTTAGGCTTCGGTGTGTTTCGCTTGTAGCGCGACGACAGCGCCGCCGCAGATCCTATTTAAAAAAAACAATTAAATTACGGAAGTCTGTAGTCTTAATGTAATTGTTTGGATGATATACTAGTTGTTACCTCGAAAAAGTGATATTCCTTATTCCAATTAGATATTAAAGTTTATGAAATATAAAAATAATAAAATTACTTACACATAATAGCTTCTGAATTCAAGACTCTTCGTGATTGATCTCTAAACATATTTATATACCTGTCTATAATGTAAACTAATACGCAATAAGTGAGCAATACAATAGCTGAACTGTGACTTCAAATAACTAAAATCAATAATATAATATTGATTTTAGTTATTTGAAGTCACTTTTTTTTTTTTATATAAGTTTAACTTTCTTTACTAACCTGCCATAAGAAATTAAGATAAAGAATAAAAAGTAATTCATCTGTATTGTTGTCTGTTGTTTAATTTTAATTGTAGTCGTTAAAGTATATCTCATAAGCAGTAAAATAACTTTGCATTTTAAAAACAATTTTTCCCCTGAGACATACAAATGTTAAACGAAATTTTAAATTTACATATTATAATTAGTAAAATACACTTTGCTGAATACCATAAATATATGCAATTGAAGTTATCACCGCCACCATCAACATTTTCATTAATCTGTTTTAAAATATGAGATGCCCGGTTATTCATGGCTCACGTTTGGCTGATATCCTATACCTTTAAACAAGCAATTCTTGTATATATATATAATCGGAATCTCGGAAACGGCTTCAACGATTTTCATACAATTTAGTGTCCAGGGAGTTTCGGGGGCAATAAATCGATCTAGCTAGGATTTATTTTTAGAAAATGTCCTTTTTTCCGTGTTTTCAGGCAATAAAAAAATTGCTACAATATAAGACGGTAAATTTTGACAGACTACTATTGATCGTAATAGCTCAGGTGGGATGTCGGTCGGGCGTGATATCGGAGTTCCGTGGTTCGCGTCTCTTCTTGGGTCCGACTTTTTTTTCCTTTTTTTTTTCAAATTCCCTTCTTTTGTGAGAAAATCTATTATTTAGAGCACTTTTTTTATAATTTTTTAAAAATAAGAAAATTTTTAATTAAACTAATTGCACTCATGATTTTCATTCAAATAACCAGTTCAGTTTTTTCTATTATGTCATTAAGATCAAAAAATATTATTCATGTAATTTGTATCTTAAAAAAAAAACCGAGTCATCCGGGTAATCAGTACTAATACCGTAATAAAATATAATACAAATGAAATTCTAGAAGTAAATAAAGTAGTTAAAAGAAAATACCTTCTTATTTTTAAATAAAATATAAAAGGCAAATTACGTAATTCAGAATTTTTCCCTTCAAAATATTAAAATGTATTAAATTCTGATAAAGCTTTGGCTTTTAGATATTTAACTCACCGAAAAAATTGTAAGTTATTTGGGGTGTAAATTAATTTCAGCTCATAATAACAGTCTTTAGACTGAACTTACAATCCGCTGAGCATTCTACAAGTTTATACGTCCAAACAACCGAGTTCACTATTCAGTAAATTCGCTCAGCTATCGATTCTTCTTTAGTTTTTTATTCATCGCCCCTTAAATGTGCACTGCTGGACATGGGTATTTATCGTTTTGTAGCTCATGGATTTCCTTATCTATGGCAAAATATGTCTCTAAGAGACCATTTGTAGGAGGGCCTATTCCCAACATAGCACTTTTAAAAGGTAGTAATTTATGTAGTGTAGAGAATGACATGACATGAATTGACGAAGTCAATTTAAGATTTACCACGCTATTTTTCTAGAACAACACTAGGTTCTTGGCATAGTAAAATGTTCAAGCCAAGGATTGTCCCAATTCACAAATGAAAGAGAAGTGCTTGACGTTGCAGGAATTTTATCTATTCTCAATTTCCCTTGCTGGATTTGCATTGCAAAGTTGGCACTGCTTTATATTTTGAACGGCATTTATTTAGATTTATTAGTTGTTTAAAATTGTGGTACTGGTACTGTATTATCCCACTGCTGGCCAAAACTTTATTTTAATAGGCCTTCTTTGCTGCCTAGATGTATGTCTGGTAATGTACCACACTTTTACATATTCTGCTTAATAGCAGTGCTTGCAATGCTGTATTCCGGTCTGAGGTATATAAAGAGCCAGTTTAAAAATAGGCTGTGAAACATTTCATCTTAGTCCTCGTGGTGCTAACACACCAATAGCTTTATTTGGTTGAATTTGGCTGCAATAGCCACTTACCTTTTTTTACATGGGGAACTGCTTACGCATAGCTGGCTCGCGGGCGCAAGGACAGGTTATTTCAGACTCATACCGACTATAACACCATTGTTTTCCACTTTCATTGCATATCGGCAGGACCACGAAAACGCTTTCACATACATTCGCGACCCCAACAGCACTGGCCGCCCCATGGCGGCGCCTTCTTGGGAAAGAACTACTTCTCCCCCTTCTCCTTCTAAGGTAAGGCGCACCAGAACACATGGTACGCCTTTATCCACGGCTTCCAACTACACTTGCGTAACAGACGCCCCCGTGTTAGATGCGCGAAAGCCATGGGGCTAGGAAAAACGAGCACCCAGAAGCACTAGCCTTCCCGACCTCAGCGGCGAATCTGGTCTATGGCTCCACTGCCATCCAAGATTTGGCTGCGGAGGTTAGGGAGAGCGGCGCCTCCTTATATTGACACTCCTCTCCCCCGCAGGCCCACCACCACCGCATCAACGGTGCGGCCCCTTTGAGTCGGAGGATAGGGCGAGTGGCGCATCGCCATACCAACATTCCTCTTCACCGTAGCTATATCGGTATGGTAAAAGGACATCCCTCTCACCGCAGCTCACCAGCACACATTCAACTTTGGCTCACCAAACCCACTCGGCCGGCCCTACGCGTCGGACCTGCCAAGTGGGTTCTTCTTTTCTTTGTTCACCGCAGGTGACCAAGCCACGGCTACGAAGCCCCCCACCACGACAAGGCGGGACCCCGTCCGGGGGGGGGTAGTAGCCACCTACCTGAAGGTGCATAATAAGTTTGTTTGTCACTTTGGTTTAAAAAAATGGTATAAGGAAGTATATTTTATCGTCATCAGGATCATATTCTTCATTTACTTTTAAGGAAAGAAGCTTGTTTTTAACCTTTGTTTTATTCGTCATTTTATTTATTTTCATATTAATTACGGATTTCGAGAAATTTTTTAACTTTTTGTTATTGATATTCCATGTACTCGAACCAAACGGTTTGCTTCTTCTTTCGTTAACAGTAAAGCAATATAGTGGAAAAATTTCAAGCTAAGAGTGGATTGGCTTTTGTTACGCACTTTGCTATCTAGAGCTTTATAACCATTCACCACAAGGTAAGATTGTGGTCAAGCAGTGGCATAATAATTAAAAATAATAAAAATATTTTTATTGTTTTATTAAAAACATTTATATACGTGGTAGAGCCATGCTGCAGTTATATTAGTAGTA